GATTTTCCTTTCATGGTGGTAAAATATGCATGCTCTGAAATCTGTTTTCTTTGTATAGTGAAGACTTAAGATCATTTTAGTTGGCCTAGTTTCTACTCTACTATAAAGGAGAGAAAAGTTAATATTTTTCTATATGCTGTTGACAAGATTCTTTATTGCTTTATAATCAGAGTTGATTTAGTAGATTGGTACTCTCTCAATACAGTTAATCTGCATACTGTCCAAATGAATGCCTCATATCTAGGCAAATAATCCAAGCCATCATTTTGGAGAACGTTCCCAAATACTGATTTAAAAAAAGAGAAACCCTTAAATGAGTTCATTTCCTTACCAAGGAGGCATATTTTGCGAAAAGTTTACCATAGAGGGTTCTCAAATTGTTGCATCAATGATTTTGACTTTCTAGAATTTTAATGGCTGTAGTATGTGTTTGGAAACATCCACCTAAAAAATACAAACTAAAAAAAAAAAAAAAAAAAGCTACAATGATTTCTGCTAGTGCTAGGATGTAGAACTTTGAGGTCTCCAGTGCCCATTTTTGCCAGTGGTCAGCGGGTACAGAGCTGTATGGTGAATAATTAAAACACCCAACTAGGGAGCTCTATTCTGAAGAGGGTGGTTTTTCTATTGAAAACCTGGTTAAAATTCTCAGTTTTCATTAGAAGGTATCATCTGTCTCTTGTGCAAGGCAAAATTTTGGATCTGCCCTTTCATTGGCAGCACAGAATATCTGTACTCCAGATATTACCAGAGAGCAAACCTAAATCTTTTTTGGCCCCCAATGCTAATAAAAATATTCACTGAAATAAATTTTATTGGTTTTGAGTTGCCTGGGGCCTTATAATTCATCTTTTTCTCTTGGCATATTTTTTCAGATTAGATAAAAATATCAGAGAGCTTCATACACATTTTATCATACAATCATCCTCTTAGATTAAGGCATATATGCTAAGGTGAATAATCATCCCCCAAAGATCACTACATCCTAATTACTGAATGTTACTTTACATGGCAAAAGGGATTTACAAATCTTGTGATGGGGAGGGGTGCCTGGATAGCTCAGTTGGTTAAGCGTCTGACTTTGGCTAAGGTCCTGATCTCATGGCTCATGGGTTTGAGGACTACGTTGGGCTCTGTGCTGCCATCTCAGAGCCTGAAGCCTGCTTTGGATTCTGTGTCTCCCCCTCTCTCTCTGCCCCTCCCCCACTCATACTCTGTTTCTCTCTCTCTCTCAAAAATAAAAACATTAAAAAAAATTTTTTTAAGTTTTAAAAAATAAATCTTGTGATGGGGAAATTGTTCTGAGTCCAAGGTAACCATGATAGTCCTTATAAAACAGAGGCAGAAGGGTCAGATGCAAAGGAGATTTAATTACAGAAGCAGATGCTGAAGTGACATGGCCAGGAACCAAAGAATGAGGGTAAACTCTAGAAGCTGAAAATGTAAAAAAAAAAAAAAAAAACAAAACAAAAACAAAAAAAAAAAACAAAACACTTTCCCCAACAGCTTCCAGAATCCCAGCTCTGCTAACACTTTGATCTTGGTATTGTTAGACCCATTTCGGAGCTCTGACCTCCAGAATTATTCCATAATAAACTTGTATTGTTTTAAGTCACTAAGTGTAATTTGTTACAGCACCAGTAAGAAATATAGCAAGCTACAAGAAAATAGTATATAAAATCTCATATGGTTTTCATTGTATTAATATTGTTGACTATGTAACTCCACCACTTTTTAACTTTTTAGAGTTACTTGAGAAAAAAATTTTTCAGGTAGTCAGTACACAAATAACTTGTCTTCTCTTGAGCTACTAAAATCTATGGATTATGTCCCTGATTATTTCTTCTCATGAGGTTTTCACTACTAAGAAACTCCAATCCAATCTATTATAATGAACACTAATTTTATCCCTGGCTCGGCTTTACTTTCCTGTTTTTCCTTACTCTTTTTCTTATTTATCTGTTATATCTCCTTGATTATATATATAAGCCATTTCAAATCATTTTTAATGAGTATAAGTAAAAAATTAAACAAGTGCTTATAAATCTTTTATTAAGGAAGATCTTCATGCTTAATTGAAGTTCTCCCCATTGTATACTAATCTCATTAAAAATTTTGCTTGTAAAGAGGAAATCTGGAAAGAAGCCATTTTGGGGGCAGGGAGGAAGAGCTTAAGCTTTCTCATTTTCAACTCAGACTAGCAAATAACATCTTTAATTTCTAACTTTTAAAAATTCATTTATAAAAACCATTACACAGCATCCATTTTAGAACAACTGTATTCCTTTTCTATATATTATACATTTATCATTTTCATGTGTCTTCATATGTGATAATGACAAGCTAATATTGGCCGAGTCCAAATAGGAATTTGATTAAGATTGGTAACTGTGTTTAAAAAAAAAAAAAATGTTCTTTGACTTTTGACAAGAGCTGCTCACTCTTTGATTAAACCTTTGTAACACTGGCCTCCCATGTTTGAAGGGCTCTTGTGTAAGGATGAAGAGCTGGCTTTCTCTGCTCTTTACCCAGTGACTCATGACATTGAAACAACCTAACTTTGTCCTCATTGTGATAGAAATGTTCTCATTTAACAGCTGTCACAGACCACAGCCCATTCAATGAGCTCCACTTAGCTGTAACTCTGCAAATATATTTCCTATAGTTGGTGGTGATATTGGGGAATTAACCTTTCATGCCTCTTTCCATTTGATCCTACCTGTTGACATTTGTATGCCAAAAAAAGAATACGTCAGTGGCATGAGAAAGAATAGATATGAAGTTCCAAAGTGCTTGTCTGCCAAGTAGACAGGTTTAACTGAGGAAGGTGACTGGGAAAAGTTTAAAGATCATGCCAGACATTGGGATATATGTTTAGAAACAGGAAAAAAAAAAAAACTGACTAGTAGGAAAAGCTGGTGGGAACAAAGTCTCTGGGAAGTAAGCAGATGATGGCAGGTGACAAAGTGGACCACAAAGAGGTGAATAGAGGAAGACAATATGCAGAAATGCATGCAGCACTCAACATGAAAACTGGGCAGCCAGTCAAAGAAACATCAGCCTTGACTGGTCAAAAGCACATTTTGATTTGACTTCACATCTTGTTGTTGAGCAAGAATTCCTTGACCATGTGGGAAAGTAGGGAAGGTCAATACCCAAAACACTCACAGAGACTTAGAGAAAGAATAAGAGTGACAGAAAAATGGGAAATTTAAATACTGCATGGCCACATAACAGAATGTTAACTCTGGGTAATGAATATCTGGGTTGTTTTTTTAATAGAAGGAATAGGGGTAAAATGCTTTAAATCTACCCGCATTACAATGACAGGAGCTTATATGCATCTTGCTCATTTATTTTCTAGCTTTCTGTAATTACATTTCATCTCTTTTTGTTTAATGATTGTTTTCCTCAATAGGCTATAAGCTCCAAAGGGGCTGAAATTACATCTATTTTTTCAGTATTCACTATGCAGCAGCAAGTCCAAGGCTCATCACACAGATGGCATTGCCTAGATATTTACCAAATAAATTAATTAATATATGAATAACAAAACTCAATTTACATGGATACTTACTGGTGTATAGCTGATTTGTAAAACTATGACCACCCAAAACTAGATCTGGTTTCTATGTCAACAAATCATCAGTATATTTGAAATATCTAAATAAGCATTTCTGTGTTTAACTAAATATTTATTATTTTCTAGGCATTATATTTAAAAACTAGGACTTAGCAATACTTTCAATCTGTTTTAGCTCTAGAGGAATGAAAACAACCATAAATACAACTAGAATACTGTTTTGGCTTTGGGTTCTTGTTTTTTTGTATGGAAACCACTAAAAATACTACACATTTAAAAGATGGAAAATTTAAATTCGTTTTAGTATTTAACAATAGGTTCAGTCTTCCCTCCAATTCGTTGTCAATCTCTGTATTCATGTAAGAGGATGTTTGAACCTATTTGTCACCCTATCTGTTTACATTCAGATAGCACTGGTAATCCAATGACTCAATTTAGACACTGCCATATTTTAAGGAGACAGTGATATATATATTCTCCAGAGCTCAAACAACCTCAGTATGCCTAATGTCTAATTTCTTTTTCTGGAAGAGAATCTAAACATAACCTGTTTCGTGGTGTTTTAGGAGACAGCACGTTCTTGTTCATCAATGATACCAGTAACATATCAGGAAAAACATGTGCCTGGGCATAAAGGTCTCTGAGCTCATAGGGTCCTGCTGAATCCTTTTCTTTTCATTGACAATCCATATAGTTCCTGTTGCAAGAGGTGGATTTTGTGGATGAACATCTATCTTCAAACCCAGGAGTAATCAATGGCATGAATAAATATAATTATACCCCCATATGGAACAGTTACTGAAATTAGAGAAAAAGAGTAGCCATATAGGCACTGGCAACTCTATAGTTTCTTTTTGGCAATCCTAAACTGAAGCTCTCATTATAATTTACTTTCAAAACCATGAAACTAGACTTCAACTCATTAAAGGCTGCATGAGGAACTTATTTTCAGAAATCTACAATTGATTACAATCCATACATCCTTACTTATTTATTTTTTATAGCTATTGTCTGAATTTTTTAATTAAAAATTTAATTTAAATTTTTTTAATGTTTTATTTATTTTTGAGAGAGATAGACATAGCGCAAGCAGGGGAGGGACAGAGAGAGAGAGAGGGAGACACAGAATCCAAAGCAGGCTCCAGGCTCTGAGCTGTCAGCACAAAGCCTGATGCAGGGCTCTAACTCATGAACCCTGAGATCATGAGCTGAGCTGAAGTCAGATGCTCAACCAACTGAGCCACCCAGGCAGGTGCCCCAACACTCAATACATCTTTAAAAGAGTCTTACCAAAGTCAAGATTCCTCTGCATAGATTATTACTTTTCTGTGTGGTAGGAACAAATGGAGAGGAGCCTACAAGAAAACATGTTCTTTCCTAAGGAAGCATGCCCTTGGGGACAATAACAAATCAAAACTTCAAATTTAGAAGGTATCTGTTTTATTAGATGAAAGTGCCTGCTGGAAACTGATCTCCACTTCATTTATTCTTGCTTTTACTCATTTTTTTCCCTGATAGGTTATACCTATAAACAACAAAAAGATAAAAATATATAGACTGAAGAAACAACAACATAAAAAAAAAAATTGTGTAGATCGGTGTACTGCTGCTAAATCTACTTATAAATGCTCTAGAAATACATAAATATGAGATTAACCTCAGGCAAGTGTTAGTATTGTTTTGTTCTACTGCCTAGAATACATAGGAAGTTTAAACCAAAGGCTAAGATACATTGTACTACCTTCTTGTCCTCCACTCAGCTTTGTGTTGGAAGAAAGGTTTTGTTGTTAGAGGCCAAAGCAGAAGCACAGAATTCCAGAAAACTTCTCCTGAGACTTGTTGAAAGCAGACTACTCTGCAGGAGCCTCAGATCCTAAGTCAGACTACAGAATTGGGTTCCAGACTCACCAACTGGCAGCTGCTAAAGTAAGCCAGTTATTTAACTTTTCTAAGATTTACCTCAAAATGAGGACCTATTTGTCACATAAGTGTTAAAGATGATTAGTATGTGACTAAGCATCAAAAAAATTAGCCAGTATTATGATAAATGTTACAGATTTCCTATGAATGAGAGTGTGTGTTTTAAAATTTGGCAGCAACGTGTAAAGGAAGAAATATGTATATAAATGATTATTTTATTTTGTTTTGTTTTAATACACTTTAAATTTTATAGCTGTTTTAGGTTCACAGCAAAACCAAGGGCAAGGTACAGAGTTGTCATATACTCACTGTCCCTACACGTGTACATCCTCTGCTATTATCAACATTCCCACCAAAGAGGTACAGTTGTTACAACTGATGACTCTACACTGTCATATCATTATCACCAAAGTACATAGTTTATGTTAGGGTTCACTTTTGGTGTTGCACATTTTATGGATTTAGATATAAATTATTTCCAAAAATGCCAAATAGTCCATTCTGACTATATTTAATAATTCAGTAATTATTAACAAAACAAATCTTATTTCATCAAAACTATAGTTAACTGGGATGTAACAAAAAAAAGCACTAAAAGGTAAATCTTTGTCTGCAAGGATTTTACTATTTTAATGGAGTAAAAAGTGACACCATAACACAAAATTCTTACCCAAGTGCTTTTTTGAGTGTCTACCTATATAAGGCAGTATCTTAGGACCACTGTTATAGGGGAAGAGACAGGGAGATAAAAATGATTTAGTTGTGTATTTTGTTCCGTAAGCTTTTTATTCTTCTAAGCTTTAAGTTATAAAATAAATAATACATCTAAATAATTACAATTAAAAGATAAAAGTGATAAAACGATGTAATTGAGAATTGTTAGAATATGAAGAGTTGTTGAAACTCACAGAGAGGAGAGATTTTTATTCCAGCTAATCTGATATTGTTTAATGAGGTAGTTGGTTTATTAACAGGTTTTAAACAAAGGCTGAACCTTTATTCAGGCAAGACAAGATATAAGCAGATTTACAAAGTCAGGGAACATGGGAAAGGGCCGTTTATTCATTCAGCATACATTTATTCAGTGCCTACCAGGAGCCAGCCACTATTGTTGGTGCTGGAGATACAGCAGTAAGGAAACAGACAAAAATCCTATCCTTGAGGAACTTACTCTTTATTGTAGGAAAGCAAAGTTTTCAGTTTGGCAGAAGCAAAGCAAACAGAAAATTGATCAGTCAATCAAAAAACACTAGGGAAGGAGGCAGATAATGTTTGAGAAGATAAAACAGGGCCAGGGCAGGGACCCCTGATTGGCTTAGTCAGTTGAGAGACGGACTCTTGGTGTCAGCTCAGGTCATGTTCTTGTGGTTTGTGAGTTAGAACCCCACATTGGGCTCTGTGCTTATGGTGTGGAGCCTGCTTGGGATTCTGTCTCCCTCTTTCTCTGCCCCTCCCCTGTTCATTCTCTCTCTCATTTTTTCTCTCTCTCAAATAAATAAAAACTTTAAAAAAGGGGGGGGTGGGGAGAAAGAAAACAGGGCCAGGACATAGAAAGTTCTGAAGGTTAAGCCAGAAAGTCAGACTTTTGTTGTTTAGATGAAGGTAAATTATTAAAGTTTACTAAGCAGCAAAATATCCTAATCAGATCTGTACTTTAGGAAGATTAATTAGGTAGCTAATTAGTAAGATAAAGCCAAGAAGAGAGAAGTGGATAGACTCTGCAGCAGTTCTACAAAGAAATAACATAGATAAGCAGGTCAAGGGAAAGATAGGTCAGGTTCTAGAAGAGGAAATACAAGTTTTTAGAAGTGAAATTAAGCTATAAGGACACAAAAAATTAAGTGAAGGCAGTGCCTGGCCTGTGCTTCATAATGTAGTTCTGTATAGGAGAGAATAAATTTGTGGTATCCACCTTTTCCTCTGATAGATTAATTCTCTTCAAAGCACTCAATTAACTTGATCTTTACAATTTACAAGCCTTTCCTTTTGCTGAAAACAGTTGACTACTGAGGTAGAAATGCATTGGCTTCAGATAATCAGATGGACCTCCCATCATTAAATGTCCCTATTCTGGAAGGAACACTGAGGAACTGGGATAAAGGGGCCTTTTTGTTCCAGTTTAATTCTATTGTCTTCCTTGCTATTCATCTGTTTAGCAAATGAGGAGAGAAATTAATGACAGTGATGAATGAAAAGCTGAGGGAAATGTGTAGGCATTGTAAACTGAAGCCAATCCACAATTGTCTCCAAAATGAGTTTGATGCTTATTTTCCCAATCTTTAGATTCCTGCCTTTATTCTTTTTCTTTATTTTTCCATTATTCTCAAAAGCATGTACAAAGTGAGTTCGTGGTCGCCTTGCAAGAAGAGAAATAAAGACATGTCTACATGTTAAATTCCCAGCTCCAATCTACAGGAACTAATACTTTTTAAAATATTACCAATAGAATGCATTACAAGAGAGAGAAATACAAGTATCTCAAGTTGCCAGAATAAAACACAGAAGATTACAGAGAAGGTTTTTGAGGACATGAGAAAACTGAAAAGGAGAAAATACATACATACAAAAAGTACACACACACCCCCCCCACACACACACACAAAATACTCCACTGAGGAATACTGAGAAAAAAAGGATTTAATTGGTGCCTAGGTATTTTTTAATATGATCCTTGCCTACCCTGCCAACCACACATCCACCTTTTTTTTTCCCCTCCTTTGACAGACTTGTTTTATCAGAATAAAGAAATATAAAGTACAAGATCTCAAGTCATGGGTTCATTGGAGCAAATTCAATTTCACCATTTATGTTCTATTTCGTTAAGTATTTTACTTAAACTTTCTGAGCCTCAATTTTTGCATCTGTAAACAGGACTAACAGTCGTATCTACCTCTAGGTTCTAGTGTGTATTCAGTGAGATCATACAGGTAAATGCTTACAGTGTCAAGTAATTAATAAGCAATTAGTAAATGTTGTCATTGCTTATTTTGTCACTGTCGTTATTATTAACTCTTAGATGAAGGAAGCCACATAAATAAAGGGCCCAATGCCTCGGACATACAGTGCAGTTAAAATCCCAACGTGTGCAAGAATGTCTTCAAAGTGTAAACTCACTTTAAAACCCAGGCATCCTGGGTCACTACTATCACTTCTAAGAACTCAGTGAGATACTTACAACTCCAAAACTTAAAATAGCTCTGAAGTGTTGGCAAAGATATCCTTGTTGTGAAGGTACAATAAGTGCCCTTTGTGAATTTCACTCCCCAAGTGTTAACTGACATACAGCATGCAACACTTGACAGTCTCATTCAAAAGCAGTTTAAAAGAAAGTGCCTGAAATACAGAGAATTTGGCTGCTCATTATAGACACCACTTTGGCAAACATCATGTTGAGGCATCAAAGCTTTTCAAACACTGGAGGACCTAACTCAGACTCAGATAAGCAAAGCTGATAAACAAATTGTCTCTGATTCCAGGGTATAACTGTTTAATATAATTGTTCTTACCAACTGAAACTATAGGCGTAGTATAACTTAACCTAAATTTTCCCAACAGAAAACTATTTTTTAAATGTCTATGTGGTTTCTTTTACTCCTGACTTTTTTGAAGTAGCAAGCATGAGGGTGGCAAATCTTCCCCTGCAGATCCTAACCCTTCCCTCATGTGAAACCCCCTCTTTCACAGATTCTACATTGCTTTAGGATCCCTTAACTCCCCAGCCTGTTTAAGAAGTTTCCATCTGTAATACTGTGACGAGACAAGGGCTGTCACTTCTCCATGAAACTGTCCATCTTCTGTCTACACTACTAAAAGGGAAACAAACTTTAAAAGAAATCTAGGGGCGCCTGGGTGGCTCAGTCGGTTAAGCGTCCGACTTTGGCTCAGGTCATGATCTCGTGGTCCGTGGGTTCGAGACCCGCGTCGGGCTCTGTGCTGACAGCTCAGAGCCTGGAGCCTGTTTCAGATTCTGTGTCTCCCTCTTTCTCTGACCCTCCCCTGTTCATGCTCTCTCTCTGTCTCAAAAATAAATAAATGTTAAAAAAAATTTTTTTAAAGAAATCTAGATATAAGAAATGCCCTATAGTTGTTTGTACATAATGCAAATGTTGGATACATCAGTTGTGATACATAGTTTTGATATAAAGAGCTACAGAATGTGGATCATTTCATGAATTGGTATGCTGCACCTTCCCCTTTATAAGAGCTTAATGTTACATGTATCAAAAGCATAAATGTTGTGCCAGAACAGAGATAGTTGCACAGGCTATCAGTCAAACTATTCATTACCTACAGCTGTTTTTTTTTACAGAACTCCCTCCAAGAAGGTCTTTCCTCCTTTTATAAATAATTCAGTTACCTTTAGTTTCACAAACTTCTTGAGCAAATTAATATAGAAAAATTTTCATGAGCATTGACTGTATACTGGCAACACTATGCTGGACCTTGAGACAAAATTATGAAACTATGAATAGACTGTTTCATGCTGTATAATAGATGCTATCATAAAGATTAATTAGAGTAGAGGTTGAATTAAGGGAGTAACAGGAACCCAATTCCAATTCCTGGAGGGGAGGGAGCACTTCCCTCTACCACCACCAAAAGTTC